CCACGTAGACCACTAGGAACATTGCACACCCCGAGGAACGTTGGAGGTACGTGGTGATGGATGAATGTAGCTTACTTGAAATGTAGAAAGTGTTGTGAGAGCCTGAGTTAATATCGAATCTCCTCCTCCTGAGATGTTGTTAAATTGAAATATTTGGAAGATGCCAGCCTGGAAACCTAAAACTGAAGGTTTTGATATTCACTTCTGTGGTGAAGTTTAAAATTCTTGGGAAGATCTAGAAGTTTTGACTTGAGATTGGTTAGTTATCGAGACTGGAAAAGTCCTGTTTCTTGCTCAGTATTTTCATCTCCTTGGATTCTGTCTTTTTTGTGATTTGTGGGCATCTTTCTCTGCCAGAAAGTTCACCGATTGAACACCAAATCTGGCTGAAAAATATTTCCATTTCTGCTCATAATGTCAAAGGAAATGCGCATTGCTTTTGTCAACACTGTTCTCTGATTCCTCTCCCCCTCTCCTCCCTGTTTTTGTCCAAAAAAAGAATACCCAATACAGGTATGCTGGTGATTCTCTAAAAAACTCAACCCAGCATTTTACATTTGTAGAAAGTTGCCAAAAAATGGCATTTGTTTTTTATGTTCCAAAGAAAACCTTTAGCGATTTCTGTGAAAATGGATTTTCGCTTTTTAGTGAATCAGCCTCTCTTATTTCATCACAGAACAAAACAAAGAAACAGGAAAAGTTCTGCTGAACTTTTTGTTTTTCCAAAGCAGAGTTACATTCAATGCACCTTTTAGAACGTGTGATGAAATTCAGAGCAACCTGGCAGACGGGAATTTACACCGAGTTTTAGACTAATGACTTCAGAAGAATTGGGACATCTGTGAGCATAGGGGGAGAACTTTGCTTTGCGGTTTTCTAAGTTACATGCTGTACCTACCTAAACCAGGAGTCTCCGCGCTGACAATTGCTGGACCACGGATAGACTTGGACCACAGAGTCCCGAGGCCAGGATATCAATGGCAAAAAGACCAGCAGCTAGAAGTGTGGTGATGGGGGGGAGCAGTTGTAAGCCCTGGTGGTACTGGGAGACATGCAGCAGGTAGAAGGGGGGGTCGGTAGAGAGGGCCGGTGTCCGACAAACCAAGGCAGGGCCAGCAGACCAGCTGGACCAGATGCAGGGGGGAAACCGAGCCAGTGAGGTGTTGGTGGAAGTGACCATCCCTGGTCTAGCAAATTTCCTAGTTTGGGGCCAGTCAAGTTCTGAGTGTGCCGGACCAGCGCGGTCCAACCTGTACTGTCAAACAAGTCACATTTTGGCATGTGAGGGGTTGGAAAGTTTCTCTAGGTGCCTAAGAACCTTTCAAAATTAGGTCGTTAGACCCTGGACAATTTTACTTTGTGCCTAATCCCCGTCATTCTCCTTCGAAAGTCCCAACCTCAGTGAGCCGCTGTGATTGGTCCATAGTAATATTCCCAATTTTATTTGGCCACAAAACCCTTTTCAGCTTGAAAGAATTTCAAGGAACCCCTAAGGCAGCCAAGGTAAAATTTGTTGAGGGGGAAATAATAAAAAAAAAAAAAGACAGACCCACTGACTCCTGATGCAAAAAGGCTCTGTTTCTTTAAGAGGAGGTGGAGGAGCGTCGAGTTGTCGTGAAGCCCTTACTTTTGCGTCACAGAACCCCAGGCGTTCCACGGAGAACAAATGGGGAAACACTGGTCCATAGGCTCCTCAAAAAAAAAGTCTGAGGGCAGTAAAAAGCATTTTCTCTTAGCTGAAAGAGATACAGTCCTGTGGCCCGTTGGTGAACTACAGTTCTTCTGAGAAACCGTTTCGAGTTCCAGAAGTGTCCAGCTAGAAGTGTGGGATTCCAATTTCAGGATCTTCACCGTTGATGGAGATGTTTAACATCTGGTGTTTTCACAGGTATACGTGTCGATAGTTTTACTGGAAAGTTAAAAGAGGAATTTGAAGGTCAGGAATTTGTATAGAAGACTAAGTAGACTTGAAAGAGGATTCTTGTGACAGAGAATCATAAAACCATAGGACTGGAAGGGACCTCGAGAGGTCATCGAGTCCAGTCTCCTGCCCTCACAGCAGGACCAAGCACCGTCTAGATCTTCCCTGACAGGTGTCTATCCAACATGCTCTGAAATATCTCCAGGGATGGAGATTCCACAACCCCTCTAGGCAACTTATTCCAGTGTTTAACCACCCTGACAGGTAGGAACTTTTTCCTAATGTCCAACCTAAACCTCCCTTGCTGCCGTTTAAGCCCATTGCTTCTCGTCCTGTCCTCAGAGGCCAAGGAGAACAATTTTTCTCCCTCCTCGTGACACTCTTTTAGATTCTTGAAAACCGCTTTCACGTCCCCTCTCAGTCTTCTCCTTTCCAAACTAAACAAGGCCAATTCTTTCAGTCTTCCCTCCTAACATGTTTTCTAGACCTTTCATCATTCACCTCGGTGCACATCAAAATATATTCTGCAGAAGGCTGGGGAAAAAAATCCACACCTGGATGGAAAAAAATTGAGAGAGCATTGGTGGTGACTAATGAAGTGGTTGGTCACTTTTAAGATATTGTCAGCTGCCACTGGCATCAGCGGTACTAACATGATTCCCACTGATTTTATTGATGAGAATGATGGCAGAACAAGAAGCAATGGTCCCAAGTTGCGGTGGGAAAGGTCCAGGTTGGATATTAGGAAAAACCTATTTCACTATTTTAAAGAGAAGCTAGATAATTTCATGGAGGTTAGGTCCATAAAAGGCTATTAGCCAGGGGATAAAATGGTGGCCTTGGTCTCTGTTTCAGAGGCTGGAGAGGGATGGCAGGAGACAAATTACTTGATCATTGTCTTTGGTCCATCTTCTCTGGGGCACCTGGTGTTGGCCACTGTCGGCAGACAGGATACTGGGCTAGAAGGACCTTTGGTCTGACCCAGTACGGCCGTTCTTATGTTCTTATGTACTAGGAGGGTGGTGAAGCACTGGAATGGGTTACCTAGGAAGTAGTGGAGTCTCCATCCCTAGAGGTGTTTAAGTCTCGGCTTGACAAAGCCCTGGCTGGGTTGATTTAGTTGGAATTGGTCCTGCCTTGGGCAGGGGGCTGGACTTGATGGCCTTTTAAGGTCTCTTCCAGCTGTAGGATTGTATGATTCTATGAATTAACAGGGTAAGAATGAATGAGAATAAGTGTCCGTGTGGCAGGATTGTGGAGAGAGGAGATGAGGTTGAGGGCAGAGGCAAAACATCTGGAGGCCCAATTGTGCAAAGCGACTCTGGGGCAAACATGAGGAATGTGCGATTAAAAAATGAGAAACGTCCAACTAAGAAGAGTGACTGTGTGTGTGATACCCAGATGAAAGTTTTCCCAGTGAATCATCGACAGAGCTACTGATTAAAAGTGTATAGAGGGTGTGTCTACACTGCGGGCTTAACTTGAAATAAGCTTATGCAAATCGAGCGATGTCAATTGTGTCGCTTATTTCGAAATCGCTTATTTCGAAACCGGGTGCATCTACACAGCACTTACTCTGAAATAGAGCATTCCTCCCCCGACTTCCCTCACTCCTCGTACAATGAGGCTAGGTCTACACTACAGAGTTTTTGTGCAAAACCAGCTGGTTTTGTGCAAAAACTCGTGGAGCGTCCACACCTCAAGTGCATTTTTGCACAAGTAAAATGAAAGAACAGAAGGGTTTTTCTGGTGTAGATATTCCTCCTTCTAGGAGGAACAACTCCTTTTTGCACAAGAGTTCTTGTGCAAAAAAATGTGCTTGGACGCGGAAGAGGGTTTTTTTTGCGCAAAACCAAGAGGAAAAAGCACAGGTGCCCTGGTGGCCATTCTGCGGATAGCTATCCATGCTTTCTTTCTAGAGATCATGCATGCAGTATGGATGCTTTTTTGCGCAAAAGTGCATCGCTTGTTCGATGCACTTTTGCAGTGTGGACGCGATCTTGTGCAACATGTTTTTGCGGAAGATCTCTTCCTCAAAAAGCTTTTTGTGCAAGTCGCCTGTAGTGTAGGCATAGCCTGAAGGTTTCAGGAGTTGAAGGAAGAAGTCCTCCAACTTGACAGACTTTCGACACTAGTTCATAATAATTGCCGGCTGTGCAGATGCATGGGAAGTTATTTCGGAATAGTGCTAGTGATTTCGAAATCGTGTTGCTATGTAGACGTTCCTTGAGGATCCTTCTCATCTCCACTGATGCCCTGGCGCATCAACAGATGCCGAGACAGCACGGCTACGTCTGCACTGGCATGATTTTCCGTTTTAAGCATTTCCGGAAAAGCATCCTGCCAATGTAGACGTGCTTTTCCGCAAAAAAGCCCCGATCATCATTTTCGCGATCGGAGGTTTTTTGTGGAAAACTCTACTGTGCTGTCTACACTGGCCCTTTTCCGCAATAGTTTTCCGGAAAAAGGACTTTTGCCCAGGAGCAGCATAGTATTTCCAGAAAAGCGGCTGATTTCTTACAGTAGATGGTCAGTTCTTTCCCGGAAATTCAAGGGGCCAGTGTAGACAGCTGGCAAGTTATTCCGGAAAAGCGGCTGATTTTCCGGAATAAGTGGCCAGTGTAGACACAGCCCACATGTATCGCCATATATTCAGCTTCTTCCAGCTCCTATCTGGGTTGTCCACCCCAATCCATACATTTGTGTGCGTATGTTTGAAAAGGGGAACAGGCTATCTAGCAATTCCATATAAGCGATCTTCACATCTTTGTCTGTTGAGATATGTATGGAGTAGACTTAGTATAAGGGCCCTCCTCTTTTTGTGTGCTCAGTCCTTTGGCTCTCCTCTCTAAGATCCCTGGAATGGTCTGATATTCCATCCCCCGAGGAACAGACTTGTCACAATACCGAGAGATACATGTCCACTATCCCAGCTATCAGTTATGATGAAACATAACGTTAGTAATCTGCGTGAAAACGGGGGTATACGTTATTGTCCCTATCGGGTTAAATGTTCGGCTCTGTATGTAGTCAAGTAACCCAGCAGAGGTTTTGTTTAATTATCTTTCAGGGGCTCGTCATGGCAAACAGAGAGTGGGGAAATCAAACCGTGAAGGAATTCCTCCTTCTAGGATTTGGGAATCTCCCGGAAGGGCAGACTCTTCTCTTCCTGCTGTTCCTAGTGATCTATTTGGTGACTATGGGTGGGAACATCCTCATTGTGTTGCTAGTGGTGGCCGATCGGCACCTCCACACCCCCATGTACTTCTTCCTGGGGAACTTGTCCTGCTTGGAGACCTGCTACAGCTCCACCCTCCTGCCCAGGCTGTTGGCCAGTCTCCTGACGGGGGACAGGACCATCTCGGTGGAGGGCTGCATCATACAGTTGTATTGCTTTGCTTGTCTATTAGCGACGGAATGTGGACTCCTCGCCGTGATGTCTTACGATCGGTATTTAGCAGTATGCCAACCCCTACATTACGTGGCGCTAATGAACGGTAGGTTCTCCCTCCAGCTAGCAGTTGGGTCTTGGCTAAGTGGCTTCATAGCCAGTACCAACACGGCCTGTTGGATGTCTCAGGTGACTTTCTGTGGCCCCAACAAAATTGACCATTTTTTTTGCGATCTCACCCCATTGCTCAAACTGTCCTGCAGTGACACCAGGCTGATGGCTCTGGTGATCTTCCTCATCTCCATGATATTTATTCTTCCTCCATTTCTCTTAACCCTGACATCGTACCTCTGTATCATCAGCACCATCCTGAGAATCCCTTCCAGCACCGGGAGGCAAAAGGCCTTTTCCACGTGTTCCTCCCATCTCATCGTGGTCACAATGTTCTATGGGACCCTGATCGTTGTCTACATGATCCCAGACGTGGCTGAGCTGCAGGACCTGAACAAATTGTTCTCCGTCTTCTACACCGTCCTGACCCCCCTGGCCAACCCCCTCATCTACAGCCTGAGAAACATGGAGGTCAAGGAGGCCCTGAAGAACGCGCTAAAAAGACTGTGACTTTTATAGAATCCTAGAACACTAGAACTGGAAGGGATCTTGAGAGGTCGAGTCCAGTCCCCTGCTCTCACAGCAGGACCAAGCACCATCTAGATAATCCCTGATAGATGTCTATCCAACCTGCTCTTAAATATCTCCAGTGATGGAGATTTCACAACCTCCCTAGGCATTTTATTCCAGTGTTTCACCACCCTGACAGGTAGGAACTTTTCCCTAATGTCCAATCTCAACCTCCTTTGTTGCAATTTAAACCCATTGCTTCTTCTTTTGGCCTCAGAGGCCAAGCAGAAAAATTTTTCTCCCTCCTTCTTGGAACACATTTAGGGTATGTCTACACTACAAAGTTAGTTCGAACTAAATTTCATAGGCGCTACACTAGCGCTCTGCTAGTTCGAATTTAATTTGAACTAGCGGAGCGCTTAGTTCGAACTAGGAAAACCTCATTTTATGAGGATTAAGCCTAGTTCGAACTAGATAATTCGAACTAGCGGGAGGCTAGCCCTCCCCAGGTTTCCCTGGTGGCCACTCTGGCCAACACCAGGGAAACTCTATGCTCCCCTCCTGGCCCCAGACCCCTTAAAGGGGCACGGGCTGGCTACGGTGCCCGTGCCAGGTGCAAGCCTGCCAGCACCCAGCAAGCAGAC